TCCAAAACTGAGGGTCAGGAATTGTTCATTTTGCAGCTCTGCTATCCCACCAAGAACTTCTGAAATTCTCTTTTAGAAGTGACAATGTGCAAAGTCTAAGAAGAAACTGAGCATATTTACCAGTTAAAGATTTTAAACAAATGAACTTTTGATATCTTCCCTCACAGTTCCCCTGGCCTCTTTCTCCTCTGTACTAACTACTTTTCTGACTGTTTTTTCTGTTTTCTATCCATGGAGTTATGAAGGCTACAGTTCTGGGAGGTGACAACAGCCTGTGGTTATTTGTTCTGCCAGAAGACATAACAGGCGTACAGGAATTCTGTGGGGATTTCAAGCAGGGTCTAAAACAAATTGTATAAGCTATGTAACTTTCCACCTAAAAATCCACCTTGATTTTTCCACCTAAAAACTAAAGAATTGTGATTGCAAGATTTTTGGTCCTTCCTGGATGGTGCTGAAAAGAGCAAGGTGGTTATTAGTGTCCAATTCAGGCATTGTTTGAGTAGGAATGAGTTTATCTTTGATTGCTTTTAATCAATAAGATGTACTTATCTGTAAGTGAAGTTTGATAAGAATCAAACACAGCATGAAAGAACTGGTTAGTCTTTTTAATGAAAAGTTTTATCTGGATGACACCATCTTGCTTCTGATGTATTTGCTTTTGACTCGAACACAAACCACTTTGGTATTCATCTTCAAGAAACTCTGCTGGGTGCATAAGTTAACTTTAATAAGCCTTGCAAATGGCTGTAGTTAGGATAGTCCTCCAAAGAGGATGGTTAAGTAGTGTTACTATTGTGAGAATGAATGGGGACTTGAAGCCTGTGCAGAGGAGGAAAGTGTCCTAAAAATAATTTGTTATTCAGAAGCATCCTTCACTTCCATGCAAAAATCTCATGAGGGCTTTGTGCTGCACTTCATAATCACTGATAGCCTAATTGAGTCAAGGAAATTACAACTGTAAAACTAGAGTATATAAACTACAGTATATAAACTAGAGTATGTAAAACCAGATACAATTCCACAGTGCCTGATTCAGTACCCACTGAAGTCAAAACATCTTCTGATCAATTCAATAGAAGTGAAATTGAACGATTGTATGCTCATGATCAAATAAAATCTACAAACTGACCAATACCCATGAACCTGATGGTATAGTAGAGATTGTGTATTGAGCCATCATTTAAACTCTTTTCTTGTATCCATTATTTGTGTGCTTGTGTGTGTTTTTATATGGGATCCTGCGCCAATTCCTCATGAGCTGTCTGTAAAGGGCCTTAACTGGTTAATGCAGTACCACACCTGGCATATTGAATATGCACATGTCAAAAAATTAACTCAGCTTGTAAGTTTGTGGAGTAATTACTATACTTAAATAATCAACATTTTTAGTCTCTATACAACAACTGTGCTTTGGGCTTCCTCTTGTGGAATTCATTTACAGGGATTTCACTGGATCTTTGATTGTGCTTTTATGGAACCACAGAGCGGGTCAGGTTGGAAGGGAGCACAGTGGGTTATCCTGGCCAACATCCCTGCTCAAGGGTTGTCCTAGGGCACATTGCATGGAATTGTGTTCAGATGGTCCTGGAATGTCTCCAGTGAGGGACATTCCAAAACTCCACAGCCACTCTGGGCAGCCAGCACAGCAACAAAGTTCTTGCTCACACTCCCCTGTTCACGGCACAGCCAGTAAAAAAACAGCCACTTCAATCCATTTAAACATTGAGTTCTTATTCTTACAGAGTGAAGACTTTCCACTGCTTTTGGAGGTATGGACAAACATAATGGTTACCACAAGATCATGTGCAAAAATAACTTCAACAGATAAGCACATATTTAGGGAAACAAAAACATTATTGGTATTATAATGCCATCTCAACAAAAAGAACAGAAACTTCATCTTTTATTTTATGGTACTGCGGTATTTTATATTTTCAGTACTTGGTTAAACATTGCTGGAGATTTTGTGATAAGAGTGCTTGTAATGCCAAGTAGAAAGGGAATGACCTTTAGGGCATTGCCATTGTTCAGATATTGTTCTAGAAGGTAGGTCCAGTGATCAGGCTAAGACTATTTCTTTTTTAAACGTGATGTGTTAATGTGTTACTGTTGTGTTACTTGGAGCTTAACATTGTAAACATCTCCTTCCTCATTAGCAGCAGTGCATGTTACTCAGGTTTCTTGGCAAAAAAGGTTGGCTTGCATCTGACCCAGCTTACTATGCTTTGTGTTTCTGAGGGTAATTAAAGGGCCACAAGATTTCTTATTGGGTAAAGAATAATTGTGCTGGCAGAGTTAACAATGCTTGTACTGACACGGGCTGCTGTGGTTTATTGCATGTTTGTAACTTAAGTCTCTATTTGCAGTACCCGTACCTGTCCCATTGCTTCTCCTGGGCTCACCTATGCAATGTGGAATACCTGTTTGAGGCTTAGAAACATTTGGCTGCCTGCTACTTAAAATAACTAGTTAGGTGTCCAAAATCTACTTCTGGGAGCAGGAGGATTGTTAGCTTTGTAGTTGCCCATGTGTTTCCTGTGGAGGTGTGAGTCCTTCCATATCCCATTAAATTATGTAGTTGGTATAAATCAGGTTAGCTGGACTGATGTCAATACAGTCACTGTAATTCAGAGCAAGGGTCTGGTCTATCTGCTCTCTAGCTTGGCATGTCTCAGATGATGTGGTGATAATGAAGCCTGGAATTTAGGCTGTCACTGTTTTCCAAGGAGTTCCCCTGTGCAAAGCTGAAGAGGGTGTTTAAATCTAAGTTCATATCAGGGGGCAGCTGAGATCAGAGGCAGGTTTTGATACTGGAATTGAGAATAAAAAGTGAAAAATCTCAGTGTATAGGGATGTGGCATACAGTTAATTTGTGTTTTGCAATGAATTGCTATAAATGTGCAGTTGCAGTTAACTGACAGTGGGGTAAGAAAAAATAGCTTTAATTGGCACCCTAGTTGTAACTTATCTAAACAGCCAGGGGCCCAGGAAAGCATGGAAGTATTGCTTCTCCATCAGGTCAGAAACTAGTTAATAGGAAAAGGGGAATAAACTTGCTTTTCCCTTTACTCTGCTGCACGTGTCTTGAGTGATTAATCTGTGCTTTGCCTCGAGCTGTTAATCTGCAGTGGTGACATTTCAATTATAAACGGCATTTTGTCCATCCCCTCTGGAAATTCTGGATTTGTCAGTGCTAAAACCTCACCAGTACATGAATGCAACTTCACTGATAAATGCACAGCTAAAACTTCTTTGCTTTCAGGAGACATTTTTGGAGGCTATGGCATGAATTTGAGTCCAGAAAGAACAGCAGCAATGCACATTTTCCATACTCAAACAATAAATTTGAGACAATATTGCCTTGATGAAAAGATGGGCAACAGAGTGACTGGGTGAGGCATTGATTCTACAAATTTCCTTACTTTCTTTTGAGAAACATGGACAGTGAAAGTAGCAACAATAACATCCCCACTTTGTCCTTCAGTGGATTCTCCTCCTGAATTGTCTTGGCCCCTTATTCCTAATTAAGATTGTTAATACAAGGGAGGTTATTCCAGTCCCAGCTTTACTGTGCTGTTTAAGTCAAGTTATTTCTTGTTTTTTGATACTATTCTGACCTGATTGCTGAAGAATAGAACTGATTCTTACATCCTCACAAGACTGCTTTTTTACTTATAAACTCTGGTTCCCTTTCTACTAGCCAATACCTCCTTTAAAAAAATTAAAATCCACTAATTTCTCCTTTTCAGAAGTCATTCATCATTTTTACTTTTAGACTTACAGACTTCAGTTTCTTGTTGTTTTTTCAAATCTTTTGAAAATTGCAGTGCTTCCAGCCTCAGCCTTTGAATCTGTCACTGTTTACAGGGACTGTGCAGCCAATGAAAGGGCTGAGCAAACCTCTCCTCTCTGGCTCACCAGCCACATTCTGCATTAATAACAAACCCAGCCTCTGTGTGCTACTTGATCCTTTGTTTTCTGGTATAAATTACACCAAGGAAACAGTTCTTGGTAACATTTCAAAAATATTATTTCCTTCACAGCCTCTGGTTAAGTGAGACCTTTGTTCAGGACAGGTTCATCCGGCATGAGCTCTTCAGGGGCAGGCAAATTCCACCACTACCTTGTGGCCATTGTTCAAAAGGTTGTTCTTTATAACAATAACTAGAAATATTGTAAGTATAAATGTATGGATGTTAAAGCTTTGAGAAATCACTGGATATATTTTTAAATGCTCAGTCTATGACAAAATTTGGTAACATTTTATAGTTAGAATCACAGAATGTTCTGAGTTGGAAGAGACCCACATGGATCATCAAGTCCAACTCTTAAGGGAATGGCCCATAGAGGGATCAAAGCCACAACCTTGGCATTATTAGCACCATGTTCTGACCAACAGAGCTATCTCAAATTAAGTGTTTGTACTGTAAAAATATTTTAAGATCCTGGGCATGCAAAACCTATTTGACTTCATTAAGGCTCTGCTGAGATACTGCCTTGATTGCAGAATGGAATTGTATTTTAGATGAGTCTTCTTTTGATTAAGGAATACCACTTTGCTTGTCACAGGCAGATAATGCAAAACCCTAAAACCTTCCCAACCCTCCCAAGTGAAAAAAGGCAAACTAGAAAACAGCAATTCAGCCAAAGTAACAACAGTGGGGTTTTTAATGGAGTGCTGTGTGTGTTTCTGCTGATTAGAGTGTGATACCACAATAGGGAAGTGGGGTAGTAAGTGCAATAACACAATAATAAAATTTAATTAATTCCTTGGGACTGTGGCTTGAGCTTGCTCATTTTGATTTGGTTCTGGACCCTGGGTGGCTCCTGCATGGCAGCTCTGGTGTTCTCTCACTGGCCTGGGTGCTGCCCCTGGGTTTCCCTGTGTGAGGGTGCTGGTTATCCGTGCTCAGCTGCCCCATGCACCTCCCTGGCACAGTGTCACCCACCACCATCACATCATCCCACCATCCCATCATCCTGGCAGGTGTGTTTTTTTTTTTTAGTTGCTAACCAATAGCTGTAGCTGGACAGTTAGGATTAAGCAGCTGCATTGTGAATTCCGTATGCTTGGCTAATCTGTTGTTTTAAGGAACAGGGAAGACAGTCCCAAGATGAATGGGCTGGACAGGAGCCACCAAGTGTGAATTCAGCAGAACTGAGCAGAAACAGGGGGAAAACTGATAGCAGCAGCAGGTAATCTCGACCCTCAACTCATGGACCACCCATCAAAAGGGACTCAAATGCCGGGAAAAATAATATAATTTGTAACCAGTAAAAGCTGACGCCTTTGTTATAATGTATAAACAGTGTAATGGTTTGAAGACCCGCGCTCCAGCCTTTTGTGGGTTACCACTCCGCTCCCTGCTTTGCTCAATCTGGAGTGAAGGGACAGCATCACCTCGGCCCGGTGTGCGAACTGGGGCTGCGCAGCGGGGAACGGGCCGTGTTCGGGACAATGCCATGGCAGCATCACATCACCATGGCCTCGATCCTTCATCACATCACCCCCCGAGCCCTAACGGGCCGTGTTCGGGACAATCCCACTGCAGCATCACCCCACCATGGCCTTGATCCACCATCGCATCACCCCCCGAGCTCTAACGGGCCGTGATCGGGACAATCCCGCCGCAGCATCACATCACCATGGCATCAATCCATCACCACATCGCCCCCCGAGCTCTGCCCGGCCCCTCCAAGCGAGGGATGCAGCTCTCGTCCCTCTCCCTGCCCCCTGAGCACTCATTAACCGCGGTGCCGCCGCTCGGCGGGGCCGGGCCGGCGGCTCCTGCCCCGGGAGGGAGGCCGGGCCAGCAGAGCCGCCTCCTTCCCGCTCCCTGCCCCGGCTGAGGGCCAGGGCCGTGCCGTGCCATGGCCGCTCCCTGCTACCTGGGCTGGGATTTCAGCACGCAGCAGGTACCGCACCACCTCCCCCGCCTCTCCCCTCCCTCGGCCGGCGGCGAGGCCGGGGCTGGGGCTGCCCTTCCCTTCCCTTCCCTTCCCTTCCCGCTGCGGGGCTGCGCTGCCCGGTTCGGCTCCGAACGCGGGCCTGGGCTGCCCCGGAGGGATGAGCAGGGGATGGCGGCGCCGCCGCCGCTGCCGAGCCAGATCGGGGCCAGGCCTTCCCTCTCTCTCTGCTTCCGTCCCCTCCCCGCGCCTTCCGTCCCCGCTCTCCTCCTTCCCAAGGCGGGTTGGGTTCGCCGGGCGGGGCTGCTCGCGGTTCCCGGGCCCGGCCGGGGCTGCGGGGAGCGGAGCGGGGCGGTGCTCCCTGCATGGGGCTCCCTGCCCGGTTCTCCCTGCCCTGTTCTCCCTGCCCGGGGCTCCTGCCCGGCGCTCCCTGCCCGGTGCTCCCTGCCCCGGGCTCGCAGCCGCTGCAGCCCCACACGGCCGGTGCCAAATTATTCACGGAATTACACAATCCTTAGCGCTGGATTGTCCAGAGAGGTTGTGGAGTCTCCGTCACTGGAGCCAGTCTACTCAGAATCCACTTAAAGCAGGGAGATTGGACCGGATGATCCACTGTGGTCCTTCCAACCTGACGCATTCTGTGAGTCTGTGGAAGGGACCTCTGGAGATCATCCAGTTCAAACCTCCTGCCAAGAAGCACAGGGATATGTCCAGGTGTGTTTGGAATGTCTCCAGAGAGGGAGACTCCATGTCCTCCCTGAGCATCCTGTTCCAGTGCTCTGCCAGAGTCAATGTAACAAAGTTCATCCTCATTTTTTAAGCAGAAATTCCTGTGCTTTATCTTATGGCTGCAATAATTCTGAGTGATTTCTGTGTTTTAAGGTGTCTATGGCCTGCACACAGTGCATGTACCTGGTTGTTCTCATATCCCCTTCACCTTCATCCCTTTCCATTTGCCCCATCTGAAGCAGTAGGTTATATATCTAAATGTGTCCTGCTTCCCCATCCTGCTAGGGATGGGTTAAATCCTGGAGTAGTGTGGTCCTTCTTTATATGCAGGCTGCATATAGACCCCTCTGCTTGCTGCTGTAGGAGCTGGGATTTGCACCCTAACCCAGCGTCCCAGTGTCTTTGTGTGAATCAAGACTCTGAACCTGGATGCTCAGGTTTCTGCTTGAAATCCTGATTTGTCAGCACAGCCAGGTATTGCTGCCCTGCGAATAGAAACTCTGCCCAAGTTGTGCAGAGACTGGAACATGTTAAAAATAGGTGTTCAAGCATAAATCACCATTATGGTTGTGCTGAAGTTTGGGAGCTTGAAAAGACACATCCAGGTTAGGTTGATCAAGTGTTTTTATGGGGACATGCTGCAAGCAGAGAGCCAATTAAGCTGCAGTGGGTCAGGGCCATTTTTAAGCTAGTGCAGGTTGGTAATGAGTTGTGCCAGGGCATAGATAATGGCTCTACAGTGCTGTGGTAAAAATGGGGTTGGCCTTGTTATTTGAATGCAGCTCCTTGAGATGACAGAATTGTAGGTTCTTTTTTTAATCAGTTCCTTTAGCAGCAGCTTGCACTCTCCCCCTGGTTGGAATAGGCACAGAATGTGAGCTGCTTCTTGCTTTTCTTCTCAGCTCTTACTGTCTTTCTGCAGAACTAGGTGAACTTAAGCGAAGATAGATGAGGAAAGGTTGTGGTACCCTTCTAATTCCTGCTTACAAGAAGGCTCAGCTCTGTGGAGTTGGAGATGTTGCTTTCTGTGGCATTAGCTCAAAATACACTGGTATAATGCCCTCTGAGCTTTTCCAAATGGGCAGAATTTAATTTCCTCACCATCTGGGGAGCAGGAAAGGTGTTCAAGGTGGCCTAAAGGGTCTGTGAGGTTCCTTGGCAAGATGAGGCAAAAAAAAGGAGGTGGCAAAAAAAGGTGTATGACATCTTTAATCTAAGATACTGTATTCTTTGGAGGAATTGGAAAAGCTGGCTACTGTGATGCAAGCTATGAGCCTGGTAACATGTTTGTCATTCTTTAACACATGCCTGTAGCCCGATCTTGTGCATTGGTGAAAGAAAATACAAACAAACCCACATGTTGCTGAATAGGTAACATTCTGGAAATTCACATAACTTGTTTAATATAACATTATGCCCTACTTTCAGTGAGTTGTATGGATTGGGGTGATATTTTTTTTTGTTCATTTTGTCTGTGGGAATTAAATTATTATAAATGAGTCATCAGTGCTATTCAATTATTGCTAGATTTTGTTAACTTCCTGTTTTATATCTTCTAGTTGAAAGTCATTGCTATTGATGAACAGCTGAGGGTCATTTATGAGGATAATGTTCATTTTGATAAGGATCTTCCGGAATTTAAGTAAGGCATTTTATATTTTACTTGGATAATTTAAAGCTTTGAAGATTGGGGTGAGGGACTGTTGCCCTTTTTGGTCTCAGTGATATTTATGGAGGCATAGAAAAAAATCATGCCATGTTCATGTTTCTCACTCTGCAAGGATAGAATATGCTCTTGCCTTCCTTGAATAAATGTAAATGTAACAAGAGCTCCCAACAGGAGATAAATTAGAAAATATACTCAAAAATATTACATATAAATAAACCATTGTTTTTCTTTTGGAACTTCAGAGTTGTAGATATGACTGGGTGGGATGCTCTCAGAACAGCATGTAAATTGCATGAGGGGAACATTTAAAAGGCATTTGGAGATAAATTCAGTTGTTAAGGTGTGGGATGACAGTATTTGCTTACTTAAGTGATAGACTAGAATTGACAAATGTCATCCTCCAGTCGCAAGTTTCAATAAAACACATTTATTCACTTGATGAATTGAACTTTATCTTTGAGGTTCAAGTCACTAATTGTGACAGAAATAATTATGAATCACATGTAGTCAATAAGCAATATCAGTAATGGATTCTATCACAGATCTTTAGGATCAGGGCCTTTCCTTGAAAATCACTTATTTTGCAATTATGTCAAACGTCACCTCCTAGGAGCTGGCTTTTACTTTTCCATGTTTCAAACACTGATCCTTGCTCTTAACATAAAAGCATTGCAAATTCTCTTTGGTCATTATAAACTTGAAGAACTCTACTTGGCAGGGAAAAAAAATTTGCTGAATTTACCAAGAGAAAATCCTGTTTTTCTGTAGGACTCAAGGTGGAGCCTACATTCACAATGACAGACTGACAGTCACTTCACCCGTGCTTATGTGGGTCAAGGTATGAAAAAACTTTATATGGATCAACTTTTTCCTTGCTGTGAAAGTTAATTGTGAGCAATAGTGGAACCTATCACTCAAATCAAAATAGTTCTTTTGCTTACATTCTCTTTCTTTGAAGTGTTGTTCTGTGTCTTTGGTATGCAAATAGTAATGCTATCAACAAACACAGTAGAAATTGCTAACATTTTGATGGGTTTTTTGTTTGTTTCTTCACTTTCTACTATTATAGCATTCTACGTGTGAGAAATTCCTTCCTGACTTTCCTTCACTTGAAAAAAACCCTACTTTTTCCCCCCTCATACACAACTGGGACAGCTGTCACTTTGCCTTCCTTGAATCTGTGTTTTTGTAGCACCCATATTACTTAAACTATTTAATTGAGAATAAGCTCTGCTTGTCAATTGATGTTGCAGCTGGTAAGTGGTGAAAGAGCAATTTATCCACTGGTTCCCAGTAACTTCGACTGATGTTTATTTTGAAGTACAGCATTTTAAAAAAATCTTAAAATAAAGCCTTTCTTACTTCTGTGCAGATTTTGCAATATTTACATGTAGGCACACAGTTTGGGGTAATTGGGAGTGTGGCTGAGCTTCATCCCCAATGGGTACAGCTGTGGAAAGCAGGTGAGCAGCACTGACAGCAATGAGCCATGGAGTGCCCAGGTGTGTTAACCACCAAAGGGAGCAGAGGGCACACAGGTGCAGTGCATCAACATCAGGGGTATAAAAGGTTGGGCTGAAGAACAAGAAGGGCAGATGCCTGCAGACTTCTGAGGTGGGAGGATGTTGCTCTGTATGGGCAGCCATCTGAAGCCTTCTGATGTGGTAAGGTGTTGTTTGGTATGAAGTTTAAAGCCTTCTGGAATTGTGTGGTGATGCTGTGTGTGTCCTGGCCATCTCAACTGTGACACTTACATGGTACTCTGTAAATTTGCCTTACTAGAGAGATTTGAATAGTTAAAATATTAGAAAGGTCACTGAACTGCCAGCTGGTGATCCACAGTAGCTGACAAGGTTTGGTAAATTTGCTTGTAGTTGGTCTTTTGATCCATAATGAAGAGGTACCATTGTGATTATTAAATTAATAATAGAATGGTATAGGTATATATGATGTTTGGAAGTCTTGCAGTGGTCCATTTCTCAAGAGAGTCTGGGAAATGCTGATCTAAATTAAATGATTTAAAGATTAATTTATTTTTTGCTTTAAACTTCAGGAAAATGTGTCAAGAGCAAAATTTACCTAAGTGCTTGAAGTGCTAAAATCACTTGAATTATCTTTCTGTTAAAGACTCTGTGAGTTTGTTGGCACTGGGATTACTGATATTGAGGTTACCTAATATCTTGTAGGATGGGGTGCAGGGAGTACCCTATTAAGACTTCATAGGTTTTCAAAAATAAGAACAGAAAAGATAATCCTGCTTTGTGTCTAGCACTCTTAAAGTGCTTTTTAATGAACTGGAGTTCTTTAATTTTTGCCTCTTATTTAGGATTCAAAGAGTGGTTCTTTGTGATTTAGTTTCTTTCAAGATCTTATTTTTTCCCCTGTGTGACTCAACTTTTCTTTTATGGACTCTCACTTAATAAATTAATTTATGTAGATTTTTGAAAAGTCCATAGTCATTAACTAATTTTTCATTATCTGCCAATGAACTCTTATCAGTGATGACATGAATTTACTGTTTAATTCCAGATTGTGAGTATGCATAATTTGATAGCTTGTTTCTGTCATTCTTGATTCTGTTTGTTGCTGTAGGCTCTGGATGTGATCTTGGAAAAGATGAAGTCTTCAGGCTTTGACTTCTCTCAAGTCAGAGCAATGTCTGGTGCTGGCCAGGTTAGTTTATACAAAAAAGTTCAGTTTTACTGCATTTCTTTTATTGAGTATGAAGTTGAGTGATAAATTTAAACAGTTGTATGGCAGAAGACTGTAATGGCATAAAATAATATCTAAACTTGTAAAAAACAATATCTAAACTACTACATAAGCATCCAGAGACATTCCTGAGGGGAGCTGGACACCTGAAGCACACAGAGCAATCACCAGATGATGGGAGTGGAGAATGAGATTTGCAGTGCAATTGTTTAGATCAGCTTAGTGCAGAGCTGCTTGGCTTCACGGTATTTTAATTCTTTGTTAATTCTGGATTTCAGCAGATCCAAGTGCTGGTGGAAAATGGGGTAGGAAAACCAGCAAGGAGCACAGTTTGCTAAAAGCACAGCAATATCCCACTGAGCAATTTTTTGTTGGCTTGGACAGGGATCTGCACAGGAACAACAAAACCCAAATGATGCAGAAATGACAAAAATGGTTCCATGATTTAGCCTGTAGAGCACAATGCCTTCTTTTTTTTAAGTTTATAGAACCCACCCTGACATTTAGTCAGTTAGCCAGTCTCCTCCAAGCTCTCCAATGAATCAACAGAGGCTTTTATAACTTTCACAGATGATATTCAGGGTGAGGACAGCACCAAAGCAACAGCTAATTCTGACATGTGAGGTTTAGGTTATTCATCTTGATGTATCTGGGACTAATTAATCAAATCCTCGCTTTCATTGATTGCAATTGAAAGTCTGAGCAAAGTGTCTGAAAATCAGAGCTGGTATCAAGGCTCTGTTATGAATTCTTCAGTGGAGCACAAGTTGGGGACTGCCAAGTAACCCCACCTTACTCAAGTGAAAAAGGAGGTGATTTCCAGGCTGCCCATATTCCCTTTATTTTGCCCCCTCCAGCAAGGGGCACAGGCTTGATGGATCAGGGGGCTCTGCTGAAATAGCACAGAACTAAATCTTGACTGTGGAACCCTGACTACAGCTCAAGGAGCCCCGAGATAAGCATCTAATGCCATTAGCAATACAATAATTGTCCCCAGTAGAAAATTCTGTGATTCAAAATAATATTCTGATTTAGTGTCTGCTTTGATCAGTCTTAAATAAGAGATTTTCTTGTGAGACCCTTGATTTGAAGTAGGCCATTTTTTGGTCCTGGTTTGGAGAGAGCTCTTTTGTTCCTTAGAATGTAAGATCAGGACTTTGATGCTTGGGAGGGCATTTCCAGCTCCTGTTTCTGTGTTTCCTACAGCAACATGGGAGTGTGTTCTGGAAAAAAGGAAGCATCCAGATTTTAAAGAATGCATCACCTGAACTGCCTTTGCACCAATCACTAAAGGTAAGGTGCACAAAAGCTCTGGAGGGAGGGCTACACTGTCCTTTTCCTGCTCCTTACACATTGCTTTTCTTCCTCTTTTTTGGCTGCAAGCCCCTGCAGCATAAATGAAATGTAGTAGTATTCCTTCAGTTGCAGGACTTTTGACATTTCATTTTCTCCTGAATGACAGTATGCTCTGCTTTAAAAGCTTCCAGGAGCCAGTGGGTGTCCCAGAATCTTTCTGTGTCACAGTAACAGCCTCTTTGTTCTTCTAGAATATGTAGTTTTTTTGTAAACAATCTGTAAATATCTTACATTTTTAATATATTTATATTTACAAAAAATTGTGGTGAAAAGGACTGCTGTACCTGAGTTTCCTTGCAGGATGTGCAAATGATTTCATAAGAAAATAGATCTATTTAAAAAAGACCATTTTACACTTGCCTCTGAAAGGATAGAAGTGTAATGTAGTGTGGACTTAAAAACCTAACCAAGTACCTTGTTGACCTCAATGTTTTATGTGTGTGATTGGTGAGCTTTGAACACAGACTTGACAAGCTTTTATTTAAAAAGAAAAATTGGGAGGACTCAGCTTTTCTCTGGAAGACCCTTCTTCCCTTACTTCAGTGTCAGAAAGGGCAGATATATGTTGAAAGGGAGACTTCTGTATTAAATGTGCTAAGTTATTAGTTTTGTAACTGTCTCATCTGTGCAAAACTCATGGAAATGGCATAAGAATGCTGGAATAAATTGTGTATTAAGCCTCAGTTGTACTTCCAGGTGATTGTGCCATGCATTAAGGAGAAATGTGTTGTTAGAGCTGTGGGGAGATAATCTGATGGTTTGTGGAGGGGTTCTAAAAGGGGCTGGGGTTTTGGGTACCAGAGGATGTGCTGCAGAGTCTGTGAAGTGACAGCTGAAGAGGAATGTTGCTTCCCTCTGATGCAAAGTTTGGGTTGAACTTTCCATCCCTGGCCAACATGGTACCCAATATCAGCTTTCTGTAATCACTGAGAGAAGGACGGGAGGCATGTCAGAGAGCTGAGCTGTGAGCTGATACCCATGGCTGCTGTATTTCGTTACTCTAGCAGGGAATTCAGAGATCAGACTTGCTAATGGAGGGTGTTGTTGATTACAGGGCTGTTTTTCAGTCAGGGACAGCCCCATCTGGATGGATTCCAGCACAGCCTCCCAGTGCAAAGCCCTGGAGAAAGCCCTGGGGGGAGCCCAGCACCTGGCCAGGGTCACTGGCTCCAGGGCCTACGAGGTAAGAAATGGATGGGGAGGAAATTCCCAGCAGAATCCTGTGCTGGAGACAATTCTGTCAGCCCAGGGAGCTGCAGCAGGTAACCATCAGCCATTACCTAGGAAAGACAGAGCTTCTGAAGGAACTCCAACCATACTGTGCTTTGCATTAGTCTCACAAAGGGAGATACAGAAGTTTCACAGTGAAATGAACAAAACACTGGAAATTCTGCTGCAAGAGGCAGTTGGAGCATTTGGCCAGTGGCTCCCAAATGTGGTGTTGGGTGGCCATGCTTAAAGTCTCAGGGCCTGCTTGTCCCCTGGGAGCATCTTGTGTGGCCACATTTCTACTGGAATGGAAGCCCAGCTTGTGTTACATGTTTGTCCATCCACCTATTTGTGAATCATGCTCTATGTTACTCCTGCAATTAAAAGATTGGCCTTTTAATATTGCCTGGAGGCTGACAAGCAGCTGTTGACCTAAGAGAAGTGTTTCAGAGGCTGGGGACACTGTCAGAGATATGCTGTCACTTGTCTCCTCTCCCTGAGCCTTCCCTCCTTGTAACTGTGACAATGAGTTCTGGAGTGAGAGCAGGGCTGCCCTGCAGGCACCTCAGCCCCTGATTAATCAGAATAAGGCCTCAACCTCCCAAATTGATGTTTCTGTTTCTGAATCATCATTATGGCTAATGTTGAAATCAGACTTTGCATAGCACTAACATTTTTTTTCCACTTGTTAAATGTTAAGGTGTCAGTGTTAAAAGGTTTTTTGATTATCTGACACAATACCATGGATGAAAAATAAATATTCTTTAAGCTGTTTTTAGCCTGGGCTGGAGTATATGCTTTGAGTATGAAACTTCCTGCTTTAATTTCAATTCACCTGCCTCACAGGCAGGTACATAGATTGTGTAGCTTAAACCTTTTCAGGGATTTGAAGGGAGCATTTGAATTGTGCTGGTTCCTCTGCACAGAATAAGTGTGATTCATTCCATTGAACTGTCATTTCTGAAATGTAAATTATGGATAGTAATGCTTTTCCACATGCCTTTTTTTCAAAAGGTGAACAAAATTCTCATTATGGAGACTATGTGTTATACCCTGTTTAGTGCAGATTGCCTGCTGTGCACTGACTTTCATCATGCATCAGGCAAATTAAATATCCAAAGTGCAATGTTCTGAACTCATTACACAGAGTTAATGATTATTGACTCCATTTAGGGTTTGTGTTTCTAAGCATTTGCATTTCTTTCTCAGCGTTTTACAGGAAACCAGATAGCAAAGATTTACAGCCAGAATCCTGAGGTCTACAAGCAAACTGAGGTTGGCTTAACTTCAATTCCCTTATTGGAAACCACGGTTGAAAGTATTTTAAAATTTATTTTGTGCAGATGTTTTTACAGAACTTTTTGCTAAAGATTATTCTGATTCTTGTTTGAATTCAAGATGAGCACAGAATTTTAAAAAATTGTTAAATTATTAGTGGTTAGGCAGACAAAAATCTGACATTGGTTCTACTTTGAGTGTTACACTTCTCAAGCTGGTGAATTGAGCTTTAAACTAAAGTTGTTGGGAGAGGAGAACCTCAGACTATCTCACTCCTAACAGTTTGGTGCCAGAAGGAGATCCCAGAGCCTGGGGGGGCGGGATGGCAGGTCAGCAGGAGATCACCTGGAGGACACCAGCAGACAGCAAAGGCACCTTCGTGGGTGGAACAGATTAAATGTCTTAGCAAACACACATGGCATGGAGAATAAACAGGAGTTAAGAGGTTCTGATCCTTTTGGCAGCATAGGAATGCCTCCTGGAGTGTTGGAATGGAAGGCTACAGGCTCTCATAAGCTGGTTCATAGTCAAGGATCATCTCCTCCAAGCTCTGAAGTGATGCATCCCAACTAAGGTTAAGTCAGGCAAAAACATCAGGAGGGCTGTGGGGATGAACGTATTGCTGCTGGACAAACTCAGACACAAAAAGAAGCCTACAGAAGGTGGCAATAAAGGCAGTAATATAGTAATAAAGGCAGAAATACAGAGAGGCCCTCTGAGCAGTTTGGGATTTGGTCAGGGAAGCTAAAACCCTGACCAAATTAAGTCTGGTCAGGGATATCAAGGGCAATGAGAGAAGCATTTATAGGTATGTTGGTGTTAAAAACGTTTTTGAGAAATGTAGGCCCTCTCCAAAGGAAATGGGAGACCTGGTTAGCCAGGCTGTGGGGAAGGCCAGGTACTCAAGGACTTTTCTGGACTGGCAAGAGTTCCAGTCACATCACCTGAGCCACAGCAGGCAAAGGCAGGGACTGAGAAGATGAAAACCACCCAGTGTAGGAGAGGATTGAGGTCGAGACCATCTAAGGAACCTGAAGCTGCACAAGGACCTGGTGAAATACTTCCATAGGTCCTGAGGGAACTGGTGGTTGAAGTGGCTAAGCCACTATCCATTGCATTTGAGGAGTTGTGACAGTCTGGTGAAGTTCCCACTGACTGGAAAAGGAGAAACGTAGACCCTGTTTTTATAAAGGGGAGTAAAGAAGACCTGGCTTTCCATTACTTCAGTTCCTGATAGCATTTTTTTTATGTGTGTGTTTATTTTTTTTTAAATCTCACCCCTGTATGAAGCAGTTCATTTCATAAGTGAATTGCAAGTTGACTCTGTATTTTGTTGCAAAATGCTGAATTTTTAATTTTTTTCCCCCTTTTTTCTTTTACTTTCTCATTGTAACTAGAAAGGTATGAGATGAAACAACCCTGATACATAAGCTTAAGACTAAATTTAGAGAAAGATATGTTACTGGGGGGAAGTGGGCCTGAGAACTGGTTAAACCAATTTCAGACTTTGAGGGCTGTTTGAACTGATGGCAACTTCTAGCAATAAAGCCTATGCAAAATGCATTCAAGCACAAAACATCTCTGCCAGAGCTGCTCCTGGGGCCCCTCAAGGAGCACTTAACAGCTTGGCAGTCTCAATGACATGTGGAAGGTGGATGCTTTTGCTTCTGTAGGTCAGCTTGCTAAACTGGCTGGCTGATTCACAGTTTAACTTCATCCTTTTTTCCTTCCATTTCAGGCAGCTAGTGCCCACTGGGGCACCACAGAAGGTAGGCCTTTGTTACCTGAGCACAATGTGATGTATTCTTGGGGAGAGATGCACCGAGAGCAAGTGCATCATTAAATTTCCTGGCCATTACCACCACCTCTTAGATCTCTGCTTCACAGCATTCAAGGGCAGCCTATAGCCAGTGATTTTGTGATCGTTAATAAAAACCTGTCACTTCTGGCTCGCTCCACCTGTAGAGGTTTGATTCTGTTTAGTTATTGGGTGACAAGCATATTTCTTCTGAGTGAGTCACAGCACAGAATGAGGGATTTGTCTGCTTTTGTGCCAGCTCCTTGGCATCAGGCAGTGCCTGATCATGCAGAAAGCCTGGTGGTGGCTGGTTAACCTGGCAGCTTGCACTGCAGGTGTGAAGAGGAGGAAGGTTCATGGTGGATCCTGTGTCCTAGGGGGCATTTTTTGGCCAGCCCTACAGCTGGATGCCATGCAGCTGCAGCATGCCCTGAGGCAGAGCTGCAGGCAGGGGCTCAGTTCAAAGCTGTTTATTATAGTGGAACTCCAGGGAGGTCCAGGGGCTCAGCTGGAAGGAAGGCAAAGGGTCACAAAGATGCTAAAGGTGCTCCAAGAGCTTCTAAAAAGTTCCAGACCTGTACTGTGGGTGGGACAGAGCGGGGTTGTGAGCATTTCCCCTATCATCAACACACATGTTTTGTGGTGTTGGGTTGCTTTTAGTTTTTTTTCTAAGAGAGTCTCTTTCTTTGAGTATGAGAGTTTTTTTTTTTAATCTTTCTGTGATAGACTGAAGTGGTGGATTCATGCTAACACAGTATGATAACATACCAGGTGTGTTTTGCATGTTTCAGAAGGCAGAGCTATTAACAGCTTTTATCATGGGGTTACTTGTAGATTGAGATGTGCTGTATTCCTGTGATGGTCAGAACTGGATAATCCTTCTAGGTGTATTTTTGTGTGCTTTCTGGGCCTAACCTTAAGCATCTATTAACATTTACTACTTCCAATTATTTTATTTGCTTTCTGCTTTCTTTGAAATTATTACTGATGCGACTCACTACTTCTCACTGTTTTTGGTTTTTTGCAGAGAATCTCTTTGGTCAGTAGCTTTGCAGCTTCCCTTTTCCTAGGAACTTATGCACCCATTGATTACAGTGATGGTAAGTGTGGGCTTTTTTCATAGTAAAAGTTTAATAAGGAAATTTTCCTTCCTATCTCCACATTACATAGATGGGAGACAAGTTGTCTGGTGCTTGTTTTCAATCTTTAAATTTTAATGACAAGTATATTAGATTTTAAGCTCAGCTACTCCTTTCAGTTTGATTTTTGCTATGCTCATCTCTCCCCATCATACGATTCCCACTTCTATCTAATGGATCCACAGAAAAGATTCTTAAATGAAATTATAGATTTTTTCATTTTTTTGTGATGTATAAAGGAGTGATAAAAGATTTTCTAGAGGCATCAGAAAGTTGTGGAATCTTAAACAAAACTTCAGAGTTCTGGTATTTGTTCTTTAGTTTTGCGGGTTTTGCTGGTTAGCTCAGAGATGCACAGGATGAATATGATGTATATTGTGATGATTTTTTCCCCACCTAACTGGAGTTTGGATCTACAACAGAAGTATATTTTCAAAATGAACCAGGAAAAAAAAAGCATAAATGAAGCAAAATGCACTAAACCCAGTTAAAAAAATAAATCTTTCCTATCTCTCCATTCATCATAGCAAAGACAAAAAAGTGACAAGAGAACTGTCTCTCTTTTCTCTTTTGTGTTATCTCTGTTATCCAGCTTTTAAATGGCAATTATGAAGGAAAGCATTTTCATGGGAGATTTGCTGTTATTTCTAAAAAACATTTCTGATTTCTGCTCTGAAACTAAGAAGATAGATTTCAGAGCTGAAAGGTTAGGTAACAAGGATCTCCATGGATTTTTTGCATTACTGAGACATGGTTGACACCCCTGTGTTAAGACCAATTAATTTTTCCTCCTTTGTTATTCCATCAAATCTTGCAGGAAAAGACACGACACCCCAATTTTAGCTAATGGACATCTTACTTGCTATCAGAGCTTCCTGTTACACTTGAGACCTCAGAAATGGCAAGGCAATCCAGGCTTATTTCACACCACTTGTGAGATTATTATTTCTGTTTTCTGGTCCTGTCCTTTTAGCCAAGTATTCCACAGCTGAATTTTATTTTTTGTGTATTATTGGCAACAATAATTCCTCGGAGATTTTCACTTTGCTCCTCAGCAGGTCCAAATACTGAGCACTTGGGCTGCTCAGCCACCTACTGTATTTCCAAGAGAGATAGTGATAGCTTTAGCTGCTTTTTCTGATAAAGAAACATACTGGTTTTATGTTTTTCAATGAGAGTTAAGTGTTAATTTTGATTTGAATGCTTAAAACTATAAGCATTAAGAATATCTCCTGTTTGGGTTTGGTTTTTTTGATTTTTTGGTAATGTTGCTTTACCTTTTCTGCTTGGAAGCAAGTGGAGGAAAGCCATGCTTCTCCAATTTTAGAACATGAAAAATTGTTGCAAAACAAGATATTTTAAAGTAAAGAAAATTTAAATTTCCTTTATTGGAAAATTTCCTTAGAAAATGAGTCACATTTTTCAAACATCTGCAGGAGAGTGTTCTGTCACACCTGTGGGTATTTACAGAACCTGAAGAAATGTTATGTGCTGTTCAGAGCATGTAAGATTATTAAATCTTTGTGTGAAAAAAAGATAAGAGAACTAAGCAGAATGTTACAGTTGTTTTTACAAAACAAAAGATTTTTTGGCATTGTAATCTATATTTTTCCTCATTCATTCCTTTCTTCTGTTAATATAATGAGAGAGAATTCTAATTCCAGTAATAAAATATAAGTATAATGGATGCAGTAGTTATTTGGATGCAGCTGAAAAAGTTGTTTTCTTGTCACTTACAATTTCTTGCAATTCACTTGATCGTTTACTTAGCACCTGTGTATTGTAGTTTAAAATGCATCTCTCAAAATAATATTCAGATAATAGACCTATTCTTCATTTCTGTAAGTTTAACTTCAGGTCATATCATCTTTAAAAGACCCTGTCAAATTGTTTAGCTCTACACAATAACTTATCTCCAAATTGGCAGGTTATTGTGGGAAATGTGCTATTCAGTTTCAGATTTTTTTCTTTTTCTTCTTAAAGGTCCAATCTTTTAAGGTTCAAATCACTTGACAATGGCTAAGCAACCTGAGTGATTGATTTAAAAAAAATGAAATTACCTTCTAGTGGAATGAATGATTTTTTATTTCTATTGTGCAGATGTTAAAAGTAAGATACATCTGGGACCTAAAAGTTGGACACTTGGAGCATTGTTTCTTTTAGAAGACGCCTTTAGGAACAGCAATTCAGCTCTTGACCTAGGGAAACTTTATCTTTTGAAATGCTTTTCTAACAGCTTTAGGCAAATTGTAGCTTAGCATATTTGTTTTTTGTTGTTCTACAAAAAAAGAATGGATGTGTTGGACTGAAGCTTTTTCCAAAGGGGTGTGTTGGGCTGAATTTCCTCCTCCTGTAGCTTGTGTGGTGTCAGCAGTTACACTTGTCATGGCTTTAGCTGACTGAAAAGGCAATCCAGAGGGCTGTAATGCAGAAACAGATGCGCTTAACTGCTTATAAATGCATGCAAATATTGATCTTTACTTTGTGGATTAATAAAACTGGTTAGTCTGCATGGCTGGGTCATTGTAATGGAAGTGTTTGTGTTCTCCCCTTTCCCCCCAAGACTTCAAGCACTTCTGTATTTGTAGTAAATATTAACAAGTCCTGCTTGTGCTCCTGGTTGTTCTGTGCTAAAAGTGAGTGATGTTTGCAGTGAAATATGGAAATTTATTATTCCATGTTTTGACTCTTTCTTCAGTTCTTACGGTACCATGCCTTGGCTGTTGGCCTTCACTGCTGATGGGGCGATGGGTCAGGGCTGCCTTTGGTTTTTGCTTGTTTTCTCCCCTTTACTTCTCAAATTATTACTAATTTTGTATGTTAAACTTTGTGATGTTTAACATGAGCAGAGGTGCTAGAGGTAGGAACTCAGTGTGAATCACTCCTTGTATAATCAGAGGAGCATGCAGCTCTTTTTATTTTCCACAGAGACTCCCATGCCCACAGCTGGATAGGATGAATCCAGCCCAACAGATGAATAGTTCTTCTAAAACAGTTGTTTCACATTTTAAAAATAAATTTGAGTTTGGGGCAAATTCTCTCACCTCTCTTTTCTCAGGGCATATGAAAGTCTTTGTGCCACTATATCTACCTGTCAATAAACTGAATTGTTGTTTCTGTAAAATGTAAACATTCAGTTATAAAGATTAGAGGCTTTTCCAGTTTATGCAGGGAAAATTGAAGGTTGCCCTAATGTAAAATGCATTGGAGGATTCTGGTGAAATATTTCTCTAGGCTTGTGGGGTGTGGGCCAAGTAGGATTAAAAATAAACCCAAATAAAAACCTGTGGTAAACAACAGCTAATCTTTCTGTAGAGAAATCCATTTTATTTAATGATGCTGTTCCTCACTGCTTTAGTTTAGTGAAGAGGTTTTTGGCCTTTTAAATCATGGACTCTTCCAGGAAAACTTATAAATTTGTATATTTCCTCGTGGTAAGTCCTGTTATGCCTGAGAGCATGGAACATGTGGCTGCTCACACCCTCTACCTCTGAAAAGTGCAGGTGGTGGCTCTGGGCTGAGTTTGCCTTGTCAGGACACAATTTACCCTGGGAAGGAGGGGGTGGCTGGATTTAAGAGTGGTCTCTCATAGAGACATCAGATATGCTGCATTATATCTTTCCATCTTTTCAAAGTGTGTGATTTTGATGGCAGAAAAGGGATCCTTTGCCCTTTGGGATGGTTGTTGCACTTTGTGCTCTGTCAAATTCCTGCTGTTTCATCATAGGCCAAATATTTTAAATAATAAATTGAATTGATTGATTTGGGTAAAATTAATTCTATTTTTATGTCATTAAATATAACCCAAATATCCTGCTGTTTGGCTTGGGTTATTCCAGTGTCTCCAAGTGAGCAGCACTTTCTGTTTACAACACCGTGTGGAGCACTAGGTCCAGACAACACCGGGGGTGCTTAGGATTGTATTGATAACTATAAAGTTTGTTTTTAAATGTTGTTAAACCCGTTTTTAAGCCTGTATGAAAAAGTGTGCTGGGAGTTGATAGGGTGGGCTCACTTGTGCTTATGTTACCAGCAGCAGAGTGTGTGTGGAGTGTGTTGAAGGCTCTTTCCCAGAGCAGAAGCACTGCTGGAGCCTTGTGATGTGCTGCCTGAGATGGGGCTTGAATCCTTCTCTCCCTCTGCATCCCAGCACTGCAAGCAAAGTCTTGTTCCACAGGCACTGCATGTGGCATCAGCTTCACCATCTTTATGATTTGAAAAGCTTAAAAATGTATTGAACAGAAGGAAATATCAGGTTTTCCACTGTGCTCAACTGAGGATGTGGCTGCATTTCTGAGATAAATAAATTGAGGGCTAAGCAGTCCTTGGAATGATTAGCATTAATTAGTATTAATCTAGAATAAGATTGATTGGATTAGTATTAATCTAGAATAAGACTACACTATCCCTGAGCAGCACTAACCAGAAATACAGATTTTCATGTCTAATGAAATGTTCAATTAAAGGCATCTTACGATCATAAGCCAGGGGTGTGGAGTGCTCAGTATGTTATATGGATTTGGCCACTAACCAACTGCAATTAACTTTTAAACCAGCAATAAAACAGTGAGAAAAGAGCAGTGAGAAACCAAACCAAAACTGTAAAGGCCTTTCCCAGATCTAATGATAGTTCTGGTGAGAAAACAGGTGACCAAATCAGTTATTTAGATATTTTTTGCATCCTGTAAATAATTTTACAGAATCTGGCCTTTAAGAGCTTTGCGCACTTGTAGATGTTGCAGGTTTCCGTTGGGCTGCTCAGCATGCCTGAAAATCATGGCTTTGTTATTCAAAGCTGGGCGCCAAATTATCCTCAAAATTAGAGGCTTTATTTGAGAAATTGGAAAGGGAAATGTTTGTACGGAGGAGGATTAGTCAGTGTGGATTTAGATGCTTGTAGGATACTCTGCTCAAAGGCAGGAGTAATGTAAAGCCATCCCACTGAGGGGGGAATTTGTTCACTTTTAGGTCTCTGCTGAGCACAACACATCTCCAAGGGATATTGCTCCATCACTTTTGCTTGTATGAAGTCCTTGTCTAAGGTGGAAGATTTGGGGAGGCATTGATATTCCTGTCTTTACTCATAATTTGTGAATGACTGATTTGCCTAGTGCCTTGTATATCAGAGAAGCATTTTCTGCTGCTTTTGCAGGTGAAAGCTCTCCAAAGGTTAAATTATCAGTATCCTTTATTCTTAGAAGGGCTGAAACCATTCTCTTTAAATGGAAAACGTACATCTGTGATGGTGTTCACAGGGGTTCTTGGATTGGGGAAGAGATGAGCATCTGACTCCATGTTTCAGAAGGCTTGATTTATTATTTTATGATATATATTACATTAAAACTATAATAAAAGAATAGAAGAAAAGGTTTCATCAGAAGGCTAGCTAAGAATGATAACAAAGCCTTCTGTCTTGGACAGAGACTCCAAGCCAGCTGACTGTGATTGGCCATTAATTAGAAACAACTCTATGAAACCAATCACAGATGCACCTGTTGCATTCCACAGCAGCAGATAATCAATGTTTACATTTTGTTCCTGAGGCCTCTCAGCTTCTCAGGAGGAAAAATCCCAAGGAAAGAATTTTTCATAAAAGATGTCTGCGACATACGTCTGTAAATTTTCTGTTGTTGGAGTTTTCTGTTTTTTTGCTTAATCCTGTGCACTCCTCTTTTGATCTGTCTTGTAGGTTCTGGTATGAACTTGCTGCAGATTTGGGAAAAGGCATGGTCAAAGCCCTGCCTTGATGCTTGTGCCCCTGGATTAGAGGAGAGACTGGGATGCCCTGTCCCATCCCACTCAGTCCTGGTATGTCCCTGGCCAGAAGAGCTGTAAGCAGCAAGAGAAGTTTTGCTGGGAGTTCTGCTAATGGCACTTGGCGTGCATTTGTGTGTGCAATGCTGCTGCTTTAATATTTCCAGCTGTGTTGTGAAGGTGTTAACCAAATCTTTGGAAACTGGCACCCATCATAGCTTTGGTCTCCTTGGATTCTTGCATGCCCTGAGCTGTATGAGAGACTTTTTGGTAGATGCTCCAGTGATGAGAATTTTTGGGGTCCTCTCCCACACACCAGAGTCTCTGGTCACTACAGAGCTGTGAATGGGAGTTTATTGCTGCAGAAACAGAGCCCAACATTTGCATTTCTCAACAGAGATCTTGTTTTAAGCTGTTTGTAGAGTTAATGAGGTAATCTTTGTGAATAATTTGGGATATTTAAAGCTCCTGAGTTCACATAACGTAATGGTGAAATCAAATCAAGCCTCACATCTCCTCAGTAAATGAGTTTAGTGTTACTACCCAGCACAAAAGCAGCTATTCTTTAGCTGTGCACATGTGAGGCAGTGGAGATACCCATCACCTGAGCCCTCTGAACTCACTGCTGATCTGTAATGGAGAGGAACATATTAAAAAAATCCTTACAGATCTCCTTGTGTTTTTTTATGGATAGTTTTCTTCTGTTTTTTCTCAATGGCTATCAAATGTGGCTTAAAAGAATACAGTTCTTGACCTCTAAAATAATAGGGGTCATATTCCAGCATTTGATGCTGTGATGTATATTAATGTTGTGTTTCCTCTTATGTTTGCATTGAATTTCTAATTTCTAGCTATTAATATTCATGTATATGTGCAAAACAGATAGATGTGTTTATGGTACTTGATGTGAATAACGGAAGAAAGACACAAAGTAAAATGCTGGTATTTACTAGCCTACTTTTAAATGAAATCTGAGGGCATTCCTGTGAGGTTCTCAACAACTACAATGAAAAAAGTGCATTAAAATTTTTTAAAATATTCATTTATGCCTTAAATGTTCAGAAATTATTCTTGTAGCTGCTCTAGGGTTTTTCAGTTCTGTGTTACAATACATTGTCATATATTGTAAGATTGCATTCCATTTTTTTGAGCTTTTTTTCTTCTCTTTCTTTCTTTCCTTAGGGGCCCATTTCTCCATATTATAGTCAACGTTATGGGTTTAGCCCAGACTGTAAAATAGTAGCATTTACAGGAGACAATCCAGGTGAGATGATTAACTGTGCAAGATCCAGTGGATATGATTATGTATGTGCTGAAATTCTAAATCTATCTTACTGGTTCTCCTATAAAATGAAAGAATATTGTTTTTATCGGTATTAATTCCTTTTTCTAACACCCTTCTATCACTGATTCTTTTGAGATAGAGATAGCTCAGATAGGCTGTGTATGATAATTTAATTCTCTTTTGCCAAGTAATCAGAAGTGAATTCATTTGCCTTTTGATAACTTCAGTTTTTGTTATGAGAAACCATCCCTACTATCAACTGTTAACATTTTAGCTTGGAGAATATGAATTTGAAAATGTATCTTGTATCTTTTCAAGCAAAAAGGTGCAGATGGACCTAGTTGCCTTTCTCTAAGAATTAGAGCTGTCCTTTTGTCAGACTGATAGATCTCAGCACAAGGGAAGGGGTTAATTCAGGGTCAGTTTTTTGAATCCTGGAGACTGTGTAAAGCAAATGTTTCTGTTTCTCCAGACTGTGAAAATAAAATACTTCCCATATTACAGTAGCTTATGCAGGTTTGAATAATGATAGAAGTTCATTATGATATATTTTACATTCTTATTCTGGGAGTTGAGTAAACTCTGCATTTCCCAAAAGTCCAATTTTTTCTTCTAGATCCCCCAAATTCAATGTAGTCCAATAAATATGTGACTAATCTGATGAAAGTGGGAATGTTCCTCCTTTAAAGTGTGTTGTTAATCAAGGGTCCACTGCATATAAAACCTGAATGCATAAACCATCAGAAAAATCAAGCTGTTCTGTAGTCTTGTCTTGAGCATTTTGATTTAATTAAAATAAAAATCATACCCTCACCCAAAAGTTTTGCCCGTATTTTATGGTGGATAGCCCAAGGCCACTGGGAGCATATTTGCCATTTATATTGTACTTTGAGATGGTGTTTGTAATGTGCTATGATGCCTCAGGTAACAGGCTGTAATTAAGTCAAAGAACTACCTTTATACCTGGGATTATTTTTGCTTTCAGCATCACTGGCAGGGATGAGACTTCAAGAAGGAGACATTGCAGTAAGTCAAAACACTCTCCTGAAAACTGTCCTTGGATGCTTGAAATACCTGAAATGTAAATAGCTGCAGGTTGCCGGTTAAATATACCTGCTAGTGTTGATTTGCTGCTTATTGGATTCATGCTTATTCTATTTCTATCAATCTGCAAGCTGCCTGAAAGATTTTAAGTAAACTCTTGTGACTATTTTTAACTAACGCTGCAGACATTAAAACCCAAGTCTCCATCTAGTATGTATTTCACTGCCATGACAGCCTAAGTCAGAGCTAGCTTCAGCACGAATCCAATTGACTTAATGTGTAATTTAAAAACAATTAGTGGCAATAACAAATGGTTTTAATTTAATTTCTGTATTGCTTTCCATGCACATTGTGATAAGGCTTCAATTATTTTTTTTCCCCTGCAGATTAGCCTTGGCACAAGTGACACATTGTTCCTGTGGATCCAAGAGCCAACTCCTGCCTTAGAAGGTCATATTCTCTGCAATCCTGTTGACTCTCAAACATATATGGCCCTTTTATGGTAATATAATTTATTTTTTTTACATCTGGGATCGATAACATATATTTCTTTCTCTGTGTTAGTGCTTTTTATTTCTTTTGTGAGATGATAGTGAATAGAATATTCAGCATTCTCTGTGGTATATGGCAATCTACTGCTGAAACATTTCCATCAACCTTATAGCATTCCTATTGTTTAATCTGAGGAATTGAAATGGTAGAGTTGTGGAGGATAAATTCTCATGGCAATAAAAAGCCGAAATTATTTCGGTGTATGGATAGAGGCAGGTCTCTGTGTACCTCAGGTGATGCATTTAATGTGCAGGAATAACAAATCTGCTGAGATGGGATGTGAAATGTGTGGAGCCAGACCAGGCTGTGGAACTTCTGTGCTCCTCTGGTGGTCCAGAGGGGTCATAATGGAGTAGGTGAAGATTCCCTTTCCAGAGAGAAGCTTAATCAGTGATGGGATGCATTTGGGCTGTGCTTCAGGAAAATATTGAGATCTCAAGAAACCCAGCTGAGAAAATGATCCTCATGGTAGCTTTTGGCTGCTGTGATTTGGGTGTTGTTTGGCCCTTTGTCAGCCAAGGAGGTTGGACTGGAGCTGTGTTCGCCCTCACTGAATCAGTGTTCTAGATTAAAATTTGGCAACCTAGGTCAAGCATTTGCAAGTAATATACAGATACATTTTGTGCCTAAATGCCCTGGATTGTAGATGCTTTAAACTCAGAACTTCAGCAAAGCTCAAGTCTGCCCTGGAGCTGTAGTGTTGAATCCCACCTGCACAGTAGTAGATGAGTGTTCATGAGGCTGAGTTCAAAACCAAGATGTCAATTGCAAGTTACTGAATTTTGTTTTGTAATTTCCCAGCAGGTTTTGTTTGTTATGTTTTGTTTTATGTGGGATTTTTTTGTTTGCTTTGTTTTTAATTTACATTTGAGTTTTTCTTCTACCCAATGTTTTCTTTTGCTGTGTAAAAAAACTGTATAAACAACCTGTTCATAATAGGAAATCAGATACTGAGGTATTTTTTTGAATAAATGTTGCACTGCTGTTCTTTCACTGCAGCTTAACATGCAGTTTGGTGGTGGCCTTGGCAGTGCTGAGTTAATCCTTCAAGCTCCTTCTGTGTAGTCATTTCTGAGCTGACCCTGCCCCTTTGGCACCAAGGCCTCTTTATTTCTAGAATATTAGAGTTAATAGGGGACTCTCAGTAGAGGATGAATGCCTGAGCTACCACACAGGATATTTGTATGGAAAACTCAAATAGCTTCAGCTGGTGCTACTGAGCAAGTTCAAGGATTTCCTTGCTCTCATTTGTGATATTTCTGTGCCTCTTCTGCTGAGCTGCTCTGATAACTCTGTGCTGGAGAGGGTTCAAACTGCTTCCCCCTGGGTTCAAGTCCAGTATTTTGCAGGAGTGTGATATTCATAAAGAAGGTGACAGCATGAAATGTGCAAAGACCATAAAAAATGAAGAGATGCACATTTTACTGCGTAGTTTGCTAACTGGCTGTGGTGCTTTCCTTTGCCAGATCCTGGCACAGAGCTAGACGTCATCATAATTCTTGCTGGACCCGAGCTGGTTCCACACAGGTACCACGTTCCTGAAACCATAAATGCAACGTGGGGACAGTCCTGCTGCTCCTGGCAGAGCCATCTCAGTGTGAGGGGTGGCAGGACACCTCTCTGAGGAGATGTCTCAGCTGTGCAGAGCTGGCCTGGGTTTGGCATGGCCTGCCTTGGGTCTAACCTGACTCACTGGAGAAATGCAGCCCCCATCTCTGCTCTGAGCTCCCCAGCACCTCCTGTAAAAGCTTTCTCTTATCTTGCTCTTCCTTCTCTATCTCTTTCCATAATGAAGTGTTTACGTCTTTTAACTTGCCCAGCTTTAATTCAGCTGATAAACTAAACAACGTTGTCAAGTAAAGGAACAAAATGCTTTAAATCTAGAGGTAAACATTTTGGAAAATGCATATGATGTGTTTGTGTGTTTCAGTTTTAAGAATGGCTCTCTGATGAGAGAGAGGATCAGGGATGAGTGTGCTTCAGGCTCCTGGGATGAATTCTCCAAAGCCTTATCATCAACTGATGCTGGAAACAGTGGAAACTTGGGTATGAGCCTTGGCAGGGCTGGGACTTTGAGGGTTTGCTGGGACTCAAACTGCAGTAGGTGCTGTACCTCCTTTTTACTTGGGTCATCATAAAGGTCAGGAATGAAGTTAACTAGAGCAAGAGAAATTCCTAATGTGTGCTTGGAAATGCTCTGTTGACAACCTAAGTGTCATCACAGTGTTTTCCTTCAATGTTCACTGACTAAGAAAATTATATTTATGGATCTCCTGTGGTTGTTGGAAGGGTGTTAGTAACATCTTAGCTGTAGAATGTTTAAAACTAGTAATTTTTGAAGGAGATTTTCATTAAAGTTTATTTCTTTTTCTGAAGACAAACCAAGTGAATTAAGTACCTCCATATTATTTATTTCTCAGTCATTACTCTAGAATCTTGTTCATGCATGTGTACAGAGCAACGATGTCAAGGGATGCCTGGATTTCCTGCATTTTCCCTAGTGTATGTCACAGAATCATTTCATCCCTGTTTTTTCCCCTGTGTTATGCTTAGTAAGTGAAAGGTAACAAAATTCTGATGATGGAAATATTTTAAAAATACTACTAAACTCATGGATTTGAAGTTTTTCATTATTTTCTCTCCCACAGTTTAACATTTTACAAGTCTAATATATAGCTCTGAAATAAGCTGTTGAAAAGTGAGCACATGTCTAATCAAGATTAAAATGGACCCATTGCAGAGCAGGGTATGAAATCATCACCATCATCTCAGGTGTGAATTGATATAGGTAAAATGAATGTAAAAATTACAGGCAGCAAAGTTTTTAAATGTAGATATTTAAGCTATAGAAGGGTTCACTCCTTAGCAAAGTGAATTTAAGATAGAGCCTCTTGACACTTTGAGATTAGATTTTTCATTTTTAGAAGCTCTGTTATGTTGTCTGTCAAATCCAGTCTCTGTGGGGTATTAAAATGACCAGGAATCTCTTTTCACTGGAAGAAAAATCAATTCTAGTGTTTTAGAAAATGGGAAGAAATTATTCTAAAACCCCAAAGTCAGCCAGTTTAGACAGTATTAAAAAAATTGGAAGTTGATGAAAATATTGTTACTGAACCAGGACAGTGCCTTAAAGTTTTAAAGTTTGTGTTATAGTATATTCACTTCAATGTTTCACTCCTCTATGAAATGGGTGTTTCATGAAAGTCATCCTCAAGAATCTGTATACTAGAATAACCCCTGGGTATATCTGTAACAAATGTAATAATCTCCATAATTTAAGTGCCTGGAGGGAGCAAAGCAAAGGCATAGCTGTTTAAATACCCCTCTCCTTTAATTCCTTGTTCCCTGTGCTCCCTGTGGTGTGGGGAGGGGTTTGGAGGTCAGGACTGGAATGTTGGGATGTGCTGCCCCTGCAGATCTGTGGCACACAGAGTTGCTGGCTGGCAGCTTTGCAGAATGTTTAACCAGAAAGGTTATGTGTGCTAAAGCGCAGAATTATTTTGGGTTTTATTTTGCCAGGTCTGCTAGGGCAGCACAGTTTTGTTCCAAGGTTAGAACCTCAGAAACTCTCCTTAGTTTCTTAGCTATTCTGTTCAGTTTTTTGTCCTCATTTTTTTTTTCTGGTCTCCTTTCTTGAATATCTTTTCTGACCAACCCAAAGAAATCTTTGTCTAGCTGTCTACAAAGCATTACAGCATTTCCTCAGATCTCATCAAAACTATTCAGAGACCAGCTCTGCTTCGTGACTTAAAATATCTGATGTTCTCTAATAAGCTCATGAAATCTAATCCAGGGTATGAGATGTTCCAATATTCCTGTACTCTTCTTACCAACTTCTCATTTTTTTTTGTGTGGTTTTTTCCTCCTTTCACCCTTGCACATGACCTACTCAGAATATTTCTAGTGTGAGTTGTGTATTAGCTGTGTTACTTGCAAATGTGTGCGTTGTGGTAGATGTATCCTTTCTTATAGGCTTGGTGTGTATTGCATTTTTTGGCATGTTTACTATCCATACTTGGAAACTGAGAGAAACACAGAATTATAGATTATCCTGAGTTGGCAGGGATCATTAAAGTCCAGCTCCTGGCTCTGCACAGGAGAGCCCCAAGAATCCCACCACATGGCTCAGAACATTAAGAAGTTGATGTGTGGACTGAAATTAGTAAAGAAGCAGGCTGTGTGGTGACTCATATTTCCAAGTACATGATAAACATCTATTATCATTTTAGCTGTGTGCAGAAATAAGATTCTAGCTTTGGACCTGGGAGCAAACATGACAACTTTAATGTTTCTTGATGCAGGTTTCTACTTTGATGTGATGGAAATTACTCCTGAAGCAGTTGGGGTTCACAGATTCAACAGAGACAACCAAAAGGTAGTAATAATCTGGTTAATGTCTCAAACTTTGAAGGAATGCTGTCAAGGTTTCAAGTTTTTGCCATTATATATTTTTTTCTTTCTGTCTGAAATATTTGCTGTCCAGTTTCATTTATTGGTGCAAGTCCCTGGAACGATTTTCATAAGGAAGTATTTGGTCTGTAGCTTGAGAGCATCTACAGAGCAGTGTCTAAACTAGAACTTATATGGTATTTTTTTCATGATATACTTTCTTTACTGGAAAATGTGGATTTACTGAAACCAACACTATCTTTGAGACAGGATTAACTTTAAGCTTACTGAGAACTTGGTACATGTACATGACTGAGGCCTTGTTTTTTAAATTTTAAACTCGTAGATAAGGGTGTGTTGAAACTTTGGGCTGTAATATTTTGTCCATATATATGTGTGAACGTAGTCCTCATTTTGCTGCCCTGCATGACTTGGAGTAACCTAGAAGCCACATAGTGACATTTAAGTAAGCACAGGCTCAAGTCCAAGTGGAATAAAATAGAAGTTAAGTTATGGGAAGTTCTTTGTATATTTTTTTTGGGTTTTTTTTGAGGAATGGCTGTTATTTAGATGCCTGGCTTTCTGGGTGGTGCTGAGACTCAGGAGGTGTCTTTGATCAAACATGACTCCCAGTCGATCAGACCTCACGTAGGTGAACAGAGATTGATGCTATCTGGTGTTTGCAGTGCAGCTCCACTCTCTGAAGTGTTGGCTGTTAAATGAATGCTTAATCACTTCTGGCTATTACACAAATGTAGGCACTTAGTGCAGTGCATGGAGAAACTCAACTTCATGTGAAGGATTCCCTCTATTTGTTTGCAGTTCAATATTCTCCTGCTTCTGTTTCCTCATTGATGAAAGGACAGAAAAATGTTATAGATGGAAACAAATTAATGAAAATATTACATGGTTTCACTTTTGTGAAGACAGAAATAGATTTAGACTTCTGTGGCATTGCTTAATTGATCTGAATTTTATGTAACTTTATATTCTATAATTGCTTTCAATTTGTATTTTTGAGATATTGATTCCTAAGCAGCTCTTGGTGATGGGAAATGCTTAAGGAAAAGTTTACAACTTGCCCTGAACTTCTTCCCATTGTGCATCAACTTCAAGTTTGATGTATTTGCCAACAGCATTGAGGTTATGAGTTGTGCTCTCTGTCATGAGGCTTTAGGTCCATCTTGTGTATGAATGCAGAGCTGGGCCTAGATGAGAGCAGACTTCAGGGTGAAGGCAAAGAGAATCAACTATAAACCTGTTTTTAACCACTCTGCAGCTTGGCAGTGAGTGCTGGGTAAGGAGTTGGTAATTCATCCCCTCTTTGGTACAGGTTCCAAGGTTTCCAAAGGAAGTAGAAATACGAGCACTGATTGAAGGGCAGTTCATGGCCAAGAGGATTCATGCTGAGAAGCTGGGATATAAAGTCTGTGAGTATGATGAGAACTAATGGCACTGGGGGCCAAAGGCAGCAATGTCAGTGCTGTCATCCCTGTCCTGCCTCATGGATACAGAAACTGGTCTGGATTCTGAGTTTGGTCTCTCAGAAAAATTATTGATGGTGTGTTGGGTGCAAGTTTTTGCAGATGGTAGCATTAGAAGGACCAAAGAGGTTTAGCTTTAAGAAGACTTCTTTTTCAAGTATTCTTGCTGTCTCATTGTTTCTGAGCTGCATTTTCCATTTTTAAATAAGAGTTTGGCCTTTGATAGATGTTTAAGTGAAAAGACCAGCCTTCTGCCTGAAGCACAAGACTGTAACTCAGAAGATCTGAAATCTATGCTCAGTTCTTGGATCTGCCATAAGCTGGTCACACAACTCTTTACCTCAGTTTTCTATTAATAAGGCAGAAGCCCTTTCCCTGTCTTGTGATTTAGAAAGCCAGAGCTCCAGCTTCCTAGAATTTTTGGTATGAATAGTTTTTAGCACATTGGAACAGCAAAGTCAGCCAGTATTTTACCTGTAGAAGTGGGTTCAGATCATTGCTTGGTGTACAATTATACAAAAATAATACGGACAAGCCTGAAGATTTGTATTGATGTTTTCTCAGTGTATCAGCCAGTGGTATCTTTAACATGCTGAATTAACTCATCTGGAGGATTGTTAATAAATATTTTATTTTTAAAAATCATAGTATTTTTATTTACATCCTGATCTCCTTCACAAGTCATTCCTACCCCCAGGCTTTTATCAATAATCATGAAGGACAGAAAAATTTTATTGTTTATTTTTAAGAGAGAACTCTAGGAGCTGAAAGTTGAAAAAATGCAAAGATACTGGAACAAATCACAAGGCTTGACAGCACCACCTCATAAATTTATGCTGTAAAGGTTTTTGTGTTATATATTTTCTTATATAGTTGAAACTGTATTTATTTTTGGGGATTATTTATGGAGACAGGCAGAGTTTCAAATAGGCTGTGTTTAAAATACCTGTTTATCCTTCCTTCTTAGATTCTGCTGCACCAAAATCTTGGTTTATATAGCCCAGAAAGCTCATGGCTGAGGATACTTTTGCAGTCTGTAAATGTCAGGGGTTAGACAAGCACCAGAGTGTGAGAAGAACTATTTGAGATATCAGACAACCCTGACACAGGAACAAATGGGGATAAATTATCTGTAAATACATTTAGGCTGAGTAGGACAGCCGAAAATCCAAATAGTTGTAGGATGTGACTTAATAAGCTTTGAGAATTCTTCATTAGTATTTTTTAAAATGCTGTAGATGCCTACAATGAAAAGGAAACAGGTGGGATTGGGTTATATTCCTATGGATTCTTTGGAATATTAGATACATTTTTGTTGCATCCCTAGGGCCTTTTAGCTATTTGGTAACTTAACAGATGAGTTGCTTTAAAAAAGAGCTGCTGTACATAGTGTAGGCTGTGTGCATCTCCCACTTCTCCTTAGTGGTATTATTTAAATGTCATACTCTGTTGTTTGTGTAGTGATGGCAGGCTCACATCTGCATTTGTTGTGTGACAGCTCTGGAAACAGGGTGTGTTCTCAATGTGTTTCAGGGTAAGGATGAGCATTGTGGGAATTACTCCAGCGTTGCCAGACTTTCTCTTGTTTAATAGCTGCTGTTTTTCAGGCTGCCTTTTTTCCCCCCTTTCCTTTTAATGTGATTTAAAAGCTTATTTATTTTTTGGATTAAATATGCAGTCGGGACCCTCGTGTTTATTCAATTCCTTTTAGGCCTTGCCTACATGGGGGATTTACTTTGATATTTCCAGGAATCAAGCTGATTTACATTCAGAAATATAATCACAGCAGGGTAAATCTTAGCTTTTTTTGGTTGTTGTTGCTGTTGTTTGCACTGATGTGAGAATACAGTAAGAAGTGCTCACAAGCTCTGGAAGGTTCTGTGCTGACACCCATTAAATCAATGTGTGACAGAAATGGATGTGGCATGGTCAGTGACAGCAAATGCCTTGCTGGGTTGCCCTGAGGTTTGTGTGGTGCTGTCACAGTGGTGCAAATGAGTCAGAAACCTGGCTAAGAATTTCCCTAGCTCTGGCACCAAGGTGCTGGAAAATGATTTTGGCAGCTCTGATCCCGCCTCTCTGTTCTTGGGCCAAATGCAGTTTGGATGGCTGTAATCAGAAAAGCAGCAGCATACGTGAGAGAATTCTGTAAAAACAAACAAATAAAAACTGCCATATAGAGTTCTTGGTTATGCACTGTGAACATGACAAACATTAGATAATCCCTTAGAATTAGCTTCCAGTTAATGAATATATTATCTTGCAAGGAGCAGTGTTTTGAATCCTCTGTCTAGCTGGTGCTGTGGGAAGGAGTGCAATGATGCTGAAAGAGCTTTTTATATGTGAGCTTTTATTCCCAGCTGGATGTGTCCAGCACGTTATAAATCTGATATAAATGACAAATAATAGTTTAAAATACCCCTTAAAGCAGCTCCTCGGGTGCTGTTTGTGCTGCCTGTGACACGAGCTCAGATTTCAGTGTGGCTTTGGTGCCAGTAGAGGGCAGGGGATTCTGTCTCATGAATTTTGTCTCTGAGGCTGGGACGTGTCAGCCTTGTTCTGAAAATGGCACACAGTCACCAGATGATCCTTAGGAGAAAGGTTAAACCTTATATTAATTGTGATTTAAGGGCTTTCAAAGTGTGTGTCACTCTGTTCTAATTGCTCTAATCTTTCTCAATCAGGCTTCAGAGGAAATCATTCAGTAACACCCTGTATCCTGTTTTGCTTATGTGCTTAAGGGGTGGACTGAGTGTTGAATCTAGAAACAAACAAGTGAAGTTTGGTCTGTCCCTGTTGTTTACATCCTCCCATTCAGAGATTCATGAAGATAAGGTGAGGGTTTGCTGTTCTGCCTTTATTTTCCTGAATTTTGATAGTATCATAAACACCTTCTATTTTTTCACTTCCTTTTATTGCTTGCAGCCATTCCCCTTGGAAAGCCAAGCTCACAAGTGCAGTTCAGAGGCTGGACTTAAAGCCATGCTTGCTGCATGGTTAAGGGACTCTCTGAAGTCAAAACCATGGTAACTTTGTGTAGAAATGACAGTGTCTGCAGCTCAGTAACACTGGTGGTTACAGCAGCTATAAAGCTGTCAGTGGTACAGACTGATCTGCCAGTATATACTTCAATAATCTTGATGATCACTTCACAGTTGCTTCTGTTCCTGACCAAGCAATCCTGAAGTTCATCCTAAAATTGACACTGGCTGGAGAATGTTGCCATGGTTCTTGCTTGGATTTAGTGAGACTGTCCTGGTGAAGACCCCAAAAAACAAGTTAATTTTGGGGACAAAATCCATCTCCCACTTTACTGATAGGTGAAGTAAATATGCCATGATGTATCTTACATATGCTGAAGGAAAATAGCACATAGGTAAAGGCTCTGTGCTGATCACACATGTAGTCAATAGATATTTAAATTATATTCTGCTGTGGAGTATAGGAACCTTCATGACAATGGTAACATGAGCCCTGAGTCAACACATGTTGGATCAGGTGTGTGCTAGAGTTTAAGTCAGCTTTTGTGGGATTTTATTTTGCAGCAGCAATTAATAAATCCTGCCATGTAGGAAGGCTGATTATCTGGGGTGGGGTCTGTGTTGATGCTGTTAACTTTGGAAAGGGCTTTCTGTCTTGTTTTTGTGCCTGTCAGTGATCCATAATACTCCAATTGCCCAAGGTGCCGTTCTGTCACCTTTGCACCCTCAGGAATCTGATTCTGCCACCCAGCTGTGCTCAGCAGGGGCAGGTGGGTAGAAGGTGCCACATTTTATAAGTGCAGGCTTTGTCCATAAAACCCTGTCTGTGATTATTGTGTAATTTATAGTTTCTAACATAAATCCATCACTCACGAATGATTTTGGTGCCTTGAATTCTAGAGACTGTATTGGTGCTTAAGTGCTGGCTGGGGTGACACTGACATGCCTGGGGCTTTGCACTGCTGTAAGAATGAGCTGATTTTTTTCAATGGGGTGCATTCTTGAAAAAAAAAAAAAAAGCAGTCCTGAAGTGCTAAGAAGAAAAAGAGCAATGTCAGAGCATGCTGGGCCTGATTTCTCAGGGATTAGAGAAGGAACTTACATTTCTGAAGAACTCAGTTTAAGATTACATGAGGGTGAACCCCAAGGTGATGAATTTTCTTTTTCTTCAGGTGGTATTTTCTTCTGATGCCCTTCTCAGCAGGCTGGAGGTAGCAGTAATGTGGGGCTGTTTTCCTGCAGGGAAGGCAGTCTAATGGAGTCAGGGATGCTCAGGAAACAGAATCAAGGAATCATTAAGATTGGAAAAGAACTCAAAGATCATCACATCCAACATTTAACCTAACACCAGCATGCCCACTAAGACATCTCACGAAATGCCATGCCTACACGTTTTTTGAATACTTCCAGGGACAGTGACTCCACCACTTCCCTTGTTCCTAGCTATCACTTAGTACAGCATGGAGCAGTTGTGTTTTATTGTTCCTGTTATCATGTGGAGGCACAGAAACCCAAAGGTGAGACCTGAGGCTGTTACTCCACAACAAAATATTGGCTTGGAGGATGAAATGGCTCTCCTTCTTAGCAAGGCAGGATGTCACTGGTCCTTGGGATGCTTCAGGGATGCCTTTGTCTGGCTGTGAGACAGATTTTTCTGCTGCTGGTTGTCCTTGACTGTCTGGCATTTGTGACTGTGCTCTCCAAAACTCCTGTGAATTAATGGGAGTGGGGATTCTTGTTCTGTCAGCCTTTGCCTGCACTGCTGAGTGTGTGTTTACTCCAGTTGTAGCAGTGTTTTGGCTGAAATAAGGAACACTGGGAGTGAGGCCATTTTGTAGTTGCATACAGATTAAATTGATGTTTATGCCCTGTGGGATTTAAATTTCTTAGAGAAATCAATACTAAAATGTTGTGTTGGCTTCGTGCTTGTCTCTTGCTGTTTGCTGCTGAGAGTGCTGATGGTGT